CATTTCCCATTGTATTGTTTATGGATACTTGTATATTTCATGTTAAAAAAATTTTGTTTTAATACTTCTGGGTGTCGGAACGGATTTTTGTATTTACATTATTTCTTATGGGGAAAAATTGATTCGTAAATAGTAAAAATTTTGTTTATAGTAACGGCTCCAGGAACTGATTAATTTTAATTTCGAACAACGAGGGCCCACTGTTTTATATATATATATATTTATTATATATATTTATATTATATATTTATATATTTATATATATATATATATATATATATATATATTATATGTATATATATATAATATATTTTATATAAATATTATATATATATATATATTATATTATATATATATATATATATATATATTTATATATATATATATATATATTTTATTGTTACAGTGTATATACTGGTCTGGGTTACAATATAGTTGACGGTAAATTAATATTGAGAGTAAACAACAATATACAATATAATTTAAATTATTATTTTATGTACAAAATCTTGGGAGGAGAAAATTAACAATATGTGCAAATTATTTACTACTTAATGTTGGCATGTTAATGTTAAACATTAGTTAATGTTGACATGTTAATGTTAAACATTAGTTAATGTTGACATGTTAATGTTAAACACTAGTTAATGTTGGCATGTTAATGTTAAACATTAGTTAATGTTGACATGTTAATGTTAAACATTAGTTAATGTTGACATGTTAATGTTAAACATTAGTTAATGTTGGCATGTTAATGTTAAACACTAGTTAATGTTGGCATGTTGATGTTAAACATTAGTTAATGTTGGCATGTTAATGTTAAACATTAGTTAATGTTGGCATGTTGATGTTAAACAGTAGTTAATGTTGGCATGTTAATGTTAAACATTAGTTAATGTTGGCATGTTGATGTTAAACAGTAGTTAATGTTGGCATGTTGATGTTAAACAGTAGTTAATGTTGGCATGTTGATGTTAAACAGTAGTTAATGTTGGCATGTTGATGTTAAACAGCAGTTAATGTTGGCATGTTGATGTTAAACAGTAGTTAATGTTGGCATGTTGATGTTAAACAGTAGTTAATGTTGGCATGTTGATGTTAAACAGTAGTTAATGTTGGCATGTTAATGTTAAACAGTAGTTAATGTTGGCATGTTAATGTTAAACATTAGTTAATGTTGGCATGTTAATGTTAAACACTAGTTAATGTTGGCATGTTAATGTTAAACACTAGTTAATGTTGGCATGTTAATGTTAAACACTAGTTAATGTTGGCATGTTAATGTTAAACACTAGTTAATGTTGGCATGTTAATGTTAAACACTAGTTAATGTTGGCATGTTAATGTTAAACACTAGTTAATGTAGCCATGTTAATGTTAAACATTAGTTAATGTTGGCATGTTAATGTTAAACACTAGTTAATGTTGGAATGTTAATGTTAAACACTAGTTAATGTTGGCATGTTAATGTTAAACACTAGTTAATGTTGGCATGTTAATGTTAAACACTAGTTAATGTTGGCATGTTAATGTTAAACAGTAGTTAATGTAGCCATGTTAATGATAACACTAGTTAATGTTGGCATGTTAATTTTTAACACTAGATAATGTTGCCATGTTTATGTTAAACATTAGTTAATGTTCCCCTGTTAATATTAATCACTAATAAAACCTACAACTGACACATTAATATTACAATTAGATAATTTATCAAAATTAAAATCCTGTATACGTATATTTATATTAATTACACTACTAATATTTTTATAATCAAATTTATTTATGCGAAAAATTTACATAAATGTTGATAGCCAAACAAACAAAAAATAGTCTGATGAGCAGGTTAATCTTACACAAATAACTCGCACATGTCAGAAAAAACTCAAGATGACGTTAGAGTCTGACCGATGTGTTGTTGTAAGATCATTTATGTGCGGGTTCTTTGAGTATTTTGTTTTTCTTACGCTAATCTTGCATGTTGCACACTGCTAAACTTTACTGAACTTGGCGCCGTCAGTATATTCAAGTATCTCGTGAAATTACACAAACTGAATAATTTTAAATATTAACACTTGGTATATGATAAATTGATGCAGTGTTTGTTATTATTAGTTAGTGATGTCTGATGGTTGGTGAAGGATGTCTCAGGTGATGTAACTGAAGAAGGTTGAGTCATCAGGAAGACCAGTGAGGTGAGTGTGGGTCAGTAAGGTGGTAGATACCGTGGGTGGTGGTGTGAGTGTGGGTCAGTAAGGTGGTAGATACCGTGGGTGGTGGTGTTAGTGTGGGTCAGTAAGGTGGTAGATACCGTGGGAGGTGGTGTTAGTGTGGGTCAGTAAGGTGGTAGATACCGTGGGGGGTGGTGTTAGTGTGGGTCAGTAAGGTGGTAGATACCGTGGGTGGTGGTGTTAGTGTGGGTCAGTAAGGTGGTAGATACCGTGGGTGGTGGTGTTAGTGTGGGTCAGTAAGGTGGTAGATACCGTGGGTGGTGGTGTTAGTGTGGGTCAGTAAGGTGGTAGATACCGTGGGTGGTGGTGTGAGTGTGGGTCAGTTAGGTGGTAGATACCGTGGGTGGTGGTGTTAGTGTGGGTCAGTAAGGTGGCAGATACCGTGGGTGGTGGTGTTAGTGTGGGTCAGTAAAGTGGTAGATACCGTGGGAGGTGGTGTTAGTGTGGGTCAGTAAGGTGGTAGATACCGTGGGTGGTGGTGTTAGTGTGGGTCAGTAAGGTGGTAGATACCGTGGGGGGTGGTGTTAATGTGGGTCAGTTAGGTGGTAGATACCGTGGGTGGTGGTGTTAGTGTGGGTCAGTTAGGTGGTAGATACCGTGGGTGGTGGTGTTAGTGTGGGTCAGTAAGGTGGTAGATACCGTGGGTGGTGGTGTTAGTAGTGGGTCAGTTAGGTGGTAGATACCGTGGGTGGTGGTGTTAGTGTGGGTCAGTTAGGTGGTAGATACCGTGGGTGGTGGTGTTAGTGTGGGTCAGTAAGGTGGTAGATACCGTGGGTGGTGGTGTTAGTGTGGGTCAGTAAGGTGGTAGATACCGTGGGTGGTGGTGTGAGTGTGGGTCAGTAAGGTGGTAGATACCGTGGGTGGTGGTGTTAGTGTGGGTCAGTAAGGTGGTAGATACCGTGGGAGGTGGTGTTAGTGTGGGTCAGTTAGGTGGTAGATACCCTGGGTGGTGGTGTTAGTGTGGGTCAGTAAGGTGGTAGATACCGTGGGTGGTGGTGTTAGTGTGGGTCAGTAAGGTGGTAGATACCGTGGGTGGTGGTGTTAGTGTGGGTCAGTAAGGTGGTAGATACCCTGGGTGGTTGTGTGAGTGTGGGTCAGTTAGGTGGTAGATACCCTAGGTGGTGGTGTTAGTGTGGGTCAGTAAGGTGGTAGATACCATGGGTGGTGGTGTTAGTGTGGGTCAGTTAGGTGGTAGATACCCTGGGTGGTGGTGTTAGTGTGGGTCAGTAAGGTGGTCGATACCGTGGGTGGTGGTGAGTGTGGGTCAGTAAGGTGGTAGATATCGTGGGTGGTGATGTTAGTGTGGGTCAGTAAGGTGGTAGATACCGTGGGTGGTGGCGTTAGTGTGGGTCAGTAAGGTGGTAGATATCGTGGGTGGTGGTGTGAGTGTGGGTCAGTAAGATGATAGATACCGTGGGTGGTCGTGTTAGTGTGGGTCAGTAAGGTGGTAGATACCGTGGGTGGTGGTGTTAGTGTGGGTCAGTAAGGTAGTAGATATCGTGGGTGGTGATGTTAGTGTGGGTCAGTAAGGTGGTAGATATCGTGGGAGGTGGTGTGATGTGTGGGTCAGTAAGGTGGTAGATACCGTGGGCGTGGTGTGTTAGTGTGGGTCAGTAAGGTGGTAGATACCGTGGGTGGTGGTGTTAGTGTGGGTCAGTAAGGTGGTAGATACCGTGGATGGTGGTGTCAGTGTGGGTCAGTAAGATGGTAGATACCGTGGGTGGTGGTGTTAGTGTGGGTCAGTTAGGTGGTAGATACCGTGGGTGGTGGTGTTAGTGTGGGTCAGTAAGGTGGTAGATACCGTGGGTGGTGGTGTTATGTGGGTCAGTAAGTGGTAGATACCGTGGGTGGTGGTGTTAGTGTGGGTCAGTTAGGTGGTAGATACCGTGGGTGGTGGTGTTAGTGTGGGTCAGTAAGTGGTAGATACCGTGGGTGGTGGTGTTAGTGTGGGTCAGTAAGGTGGTAGATACGTGGGTGGTGGTGTTAGTGTGGGTCAGTAGGTGGTAGATACCGTGGGTGGTGGTGTTAGTGTGGGTCAGTAAGGTGGTAGATACCGTGGGTGTGGGTGTGAGTGTGGGTCAGTAAGGTGGTAGATACCGTGGGTGGTGGTGTTAGTGTGGGTCAGTAAGGTGGTAGATACCGTGGGTGGTGGTGTTAGTGTGGGTCAGTAAGGTGGTAGATACCTTGGGTGGCGGTGTGAGTGTGGGTCAGTAAGGTGGTAGTTACGTGGGTGGTGGTTTTAGTGTGGGTCAGTAAGGTGGTAGATACCGTGGGTGGTGGGTTAGTGTGGGTCAGTAAGGTTGTAGATACCGTGGGTGGTGGTTGTGAGTGTGGGTCAGTAAGGTGGTAGATACCGTGGGTGGTGGTTGTTAGTGTGGGTCAGTAAGGTGGTAGATACCGTGGGTGGCGGTGTGAGTGTGGGTCAGTAAGGTGGTAGATACCGTGGGTGGTGGTGTTAGTGTGGGTCAGTAAGGTGGTAGATACCGTGGGTGGTGGTGTGAGTGTGGGTCAGTAAGGTGGTAGATTACCGTGGGTGGTGGTGTTTAGTGTGGGTCAGTAAGGTTGGTAGATACCGTGGGAGGTGGTGTAGTGTGGGTCAGTAAGGTGGTAGATACTGTGGGTGGTGGTGTGAGTGTGGGTCAGTAAGGTGGTAGTTACCGTGGGTGGTGGTTTAGTGTGGGTCAGTAAGGTGGTAGATACCGTGGGGGTGGTGTGAGTGTGGGTCAGTAAGGTGGTAGATACGTGGGTGGTGGTGTAGTGTGGGGTCAGTAAGGTGGTAGTTACCGTGGGTGGTGGTGTTAGTGTGGTCAGTAAGGTGGTAGATACCGTGGGTGGTGGTGTGAGTGTGGGTCAGTAAGGTGGTAGTTACCGTGGGTGGTCGTTTTAGTGTGGGTCAGTAAGGTTGTAGATACCGTGGGAGGTGGTGTGAGTGTGGGTCAGTAAGGTGGTAGATACTGTGGGTGGTGGTATTAGTGTGGGTCAATTTGCTGGTAGTTCCTTAGGGCGGTGGTGGTAGTTGTGGTTTTACTGTGGGTCAGTATTGTGCTAGAGATTGTGGGTGGTAGTGGCACTTGTTGTAGTGCTACCAGAGTGGCTAGTTGTAGTTGCATTGTTTGTGGTGGTAGTGGTGGTGGATGTAGTGTTGTTGGTATTGGTGATGTGGAGATCGTTTTGGTCTCTGTATTGTTGGGAATGGTGGCTGTTGTTGCGGCGAAGCAGCAGCTCACAGTTCGGTCTCATGATAGGTTTCCTGGCCGTACCTGCTGGTGTCTTTCCTCTGAGCTCTGTGAGTGACAGCAGGAGAGAAAGAAAAATAAATTACCAAATGAATCATGTATTCTTTATTCAGTGAACACTTAATAAATACTTAACATAAATTTATCCGTATACAATTTAGTCTCATGCAGAATATTCCTGCTTCATGTCGTATATCCTTAGTTTTATTACGATGTGTACAATTGAAACACACAAGTAAGAGTAGGAGGACAGGAAGCTATTTACTATCTGTTAATGGCTGTAGAGAGTATAGCCCCCGTGGCCCGCTCCCTGATCAGGTCTCTCAGTTAGAGAGGAAATGTTAGAGGCATTCTTTAAGAACGATTATTAAAATGCAGGTAAGAAAAGAAGATAAAGACGACTACTAGGACGAGAACGAGGGAGATAAAGAAAGTCAGATAACTGTAGGAATGAAAATAGTAACTTACAGAACAATTTCGACGTTATCAAGGGCCCACTGATCAGTAGCTGGACCATCGTGGTCAGGCTGCCACCATCTTAGCTGTACTCCGTACCGTCTAGCTTCCACTGGCAGAGTATAAGCTACACGACGTGCCTGTATACACGGTCATACAAGCAGGTTATACACTTTCTTACACTGGTGGTTTAGTTATATCTTAAACATATTCTCACGAACTGGTGACTGAGGATGCGACTAAGACATCGCGAAAGTGCTTATAATCTATAATCATATAGTGTGGTTTTTATTTTCTCAACAAACCGGCTGTATCCCACCGAGGCAGGGTGACCTAAAAAGAAAAACAAAAGTTTTTGTTTTCAAATTTAGTAATTTATACAGGAGAAGGGGCTACTAACCCCTTGTTCCTGGCATTTTAATCGCCTCTTACGACACGAATAGTTTATGGAGGAAAAATTCTGTTCTACTTCCCCTGGAGATAAGAGGAAATAAAGAAAAAATGAACTTTTAAGAAAATTGAAGAAAACCCAGTTTGGTTTGTGTATATATGCATTATGTGCTTGTGTAATGTGACATAAGTGTAAGTAGAAGTAGCAAGATATATCTAGTATCCCTCGTGTTTATGAGATAAAAAAAAAACCAGCAATTCTACCATCATGTAAAACAATTACAGGTTACCGTTACACTGTGGTTGTATTGTATATTAAGATACCACATGTTTCTTGTGATACTGTTGTATCACTGTTGTACACTGATACACATACACTAATACAAAAACAAAATACACTGATACAGTTGTATATATCTGTTAATGATTCTTGTAATTATCGCCCCACATGTACTACATGTGGGGCGTAGGTTGGTAGACAGCAACCACCCAGGGAAGTACTACCGTCCTGCCAGGTGACCGTGAAACAGAAACCTGTAACTGTTTTACATGATGTTAGGATTGCTGGTGTCTTTTTCTGTCTCATAAACACGCTGGATAACAGGTATATCTCGCTACTTCTACTTACAATTAGGTCACACTACACAGGCAAGTACATGCATATATATACATACACACATCTAGGGTTTTTTTCTTTTTCTTAATAGCTCTTGTTCTTTTTTCTTTCTCTATTATCCATGGGGAAGTGGAAAAGAATCTTTCCTCCGTAAACCATGCATGTCGTATGAGGCGACTAAAATGCCGGGAGCAATGGGCTAGTAACTCCTTCTCCTGTACATAGTTACTCTAAAAATGAGAAGAAAAACTTTATAAAACTGGGATGCTTGATTGTGCATGGATGTAGTGCGGATGATGAGAAAGAGATGTCGTGGCCCTAAGCGAAACAAAGCTGAAGGGGGGTAGGGGAGTTTCGGTGGGGAGCAATAAATGGGATTAAGTCAGGAGTATCTGAGAGAGTTAGAGCTAAGGAAAGGGTAGCAATAATGTTGAAGGATCAGTTATGGAAGGAGAAGAGGGAATAAATGTGTAAATTCAAGGATTATGTGGATTAAAATAAGGGTCAGATAAGAAAAGTGGGTCATAATAAGCGTGTATGCATCTGGAGAAGAGAGGAGTGTAGAGGAGAGAGAGAGATTTTGGGAGATGTTAAGCGAATGTATAAGAACCTTTGAACCAAGTGAAAGAGTAATTGTGGTAGGGGACCTGAATGCTAAAGTAGGAGAAACTTTTAGAGAGGGTGTGGTAGGTAGGTTTGGGGTGCCAGGTGTAAATGATAATGGGAGCCCTTTGATTGAACTTTGTATAGAAAGGGGGTTAGTTATAAGTAATATGTATTTTAAGAAAAAGTGGATAAATAAGTATACAAGATATGATGTAGGGCATAATGACAGTAGTTTGTTGGACTATGTATTGGTAGATAAAAGACTGCTGAGTAGACTTCAGGATGTACATGTTTATAGAGGAGCCACAGATACATCAGATCACTTTCTAATTGTAGCTCCAGTGAGAGTAAAAGGTAGATGGGATACAAGGAAAATAGAAGCAGCAAGTAGGAGAGAGGTGAAGGTGCATAAACTAAAAGAGGAGGCAGTTAGGGTAAGATATAAACAAGTATTGGAGGATAGATGGGCTAGTGAGAGTATAGGCAATGGGGTCGAAGATGTATGGGGTAGGTTTAAGAATGTAGTGTTAGAGTGTACAGCAGAAGTTTGTGGTTACAGGAAAGTGGGTGCGGGAGGGAAGAAGAGCAATAGGTGGAATGATGAGGTAAAGAGATTAGTAAGGGAGAAAAAAATATCATATGAGAGGTTTTTACAAAGTAGAAGTGATGCAAGAAGGGAAGACTATATGGAGAAAGAAAGAGAGGTTAAGAGAGTGGTGAAGCAATGTAAAAAGAGAGCAAATGAGAGAGTGGGTGATATGTTATCAACAAATTTTGCTGAAAATAAAAAAAGCTTTTGGAGTGAGATTAATAAGTTGAGGAAGCCTAGGGAACAAATGGATTTGACAGTTAAAAATGGGAGTTAGTGAGTTAGAGGTAGCGAGAAGATGGAGGGAATATTTTGAGGAATTGTTAAATGTTGATGAAGATAGGGAAGCTGTGATTTCGTGTATAGGGCAAGGAGGAATAACATCTTGTAGGAGTGAGAAAGAGCCAGTTGTGAGTGTGCGGGAAGTTTGTGAGTCAGTGGATAGAATGAAAGGGGGTAAGGCAGCTGGGATTGATGGGATAAAGATAGAAATGTTAAAAGCAGGAGGGGATATAGTTTTGGAGTGGTTGGTGCTATTATTTAATAAATGTATGGAAGAGAGTAAGGTACCTAGGGATTGGCAGAGAGCATGCATAGTTCCTTTGTATAAAGGCAAAGGGGATAAAAGAGAGTGCAAAAATTACAGGGAATAAGTCTGTTGAGTATACCTGGTAAAGTGTATGGTAGAGTTATTATTGAAAGAATTAGGAGTAAGACGGAGACTAGGATAGCAAATGAACAAGTAGGCGGGGTAGGGGTCGGCCTACGAAGGGCTGGAGGGAGGGGGTAAAGGAGGTTTCGTATGCGAGGGGCTTGAACTTCTAGCAAGCGTGCATGACCGTATTTGAGGGAGCGAATGGAGACAAATGGTTTTTAATACTTGACGTGCTGTTGGAGTGTGAGCTAAGTAACATTTATGAAGGGGTTCAGGGAAACCGGCAGGCCGGACTTGAGTCCTGGAGATGGGAAGTACAGTGCCTGCACTCTAAAGGAGGGGTGTTAATGTTGCAGTTTAAAAACTGTAGTGTAAAGCACCCTTCTGGCAAGACAGTGATGGAGTGAATGATGGTGAAAGTTTTTCTTTTTCGGGCCACCCTGCCTTGGTGGGAATCGGCCGATGCAAATGTAAAATGTAAATCAGTTAAGTATTTATAATAAAACTGGAAAAATAAAAGCAGGAACAGCGACATCAAACAAACCTTTCTGAAGTCGAGTGGGTCGTGAACGTTGATGGTAGTCCAAGCTATACCGTTATTATTAGTGTACTGTAGGATGACGCCCTTGTCGAGTGCTCTCTGTGGGTCAGTCAGGTCCACATGGCAGGACGGTGTGTGGTCGTGGCTACCGATCCTCAGCACGAAGATCAACTTGCTGTGGAGGCAGTGTACTCTCAGTTATCATTATTATTATATTTTGTTAATTTGCTTCAGAATAAAAAAAACTGATGTATGTGAGTTTCCTAACACTTGTTGCAGCTGTTGTGAGGGTGTTTCATTTTTGGTTCTTACCCCTAGTCAAAAATCAATCTTTACACAACACACACACACACACACACACACACACACACACACACACACACACACACACACGCACACGCACACGCACACGCACACGCACACACACACACACACACACAAGAGGTTACTGTAAAAGCTAGAGGATCAGGCACACATAACATGAAAGGCACTGCAATGGATCAGAGAATATTACAGGGAGGAAACAAGAGTCTGGACGTGACGGGTGTCAAGTGGGCGCCTGTGACAAGGGGGTTTCCCACAGGGGCAGTCCTAGGACCTGTGCTTTTTTGGAAAATTTGTAAAGGGGCATAAGGGAAAGGGATAGACCAGAAGTGCCCTTTGTTTGCAGATGATGTAATTTAAATGAGGGAATCAAATCGTTCGGGGACAGGCAGGACTACAAGAGACCTGGACAGGCTAAAAGCCTGGTCCCAACTGGCCCCTTGGGTTTAACCCCTGCCAAATGAAAAGCATGAAGAGGGGGAAGGGGCAAAGAAGACGCAGACACGTAAAGTCTAGGTCCCAAAGACTAAAAAACCTCCCCAAAGGAAAATTTTTGGGGTAAAATATAACACCGAGCACATTTCCTAGGGCAACAACAGATAATGGGGCAAACCTAAGGATACTTTCCCGATACCTCATAAGAAATTTTTAAAGACTTGTACCATTTACGTCAGGCCCATAATGAATTTGCGCACCAGTTTGGAATCCACACCGGTCAAGCACCAAAAAATTAGGAAAAGAAAAGGTTTGCAAAAGACTAACCAGAGCTAAGAGGTTTGCCCTACGAAAAAGGGGTTGAGGGAAATGGGCCTGACACACTGGGGGACGGGAGGGTGGGAGGACTGTAACGACATAAATTACTGCGGGGAATGGGACAAGGGACAAAGACGGGATTTTCCAGGAGGGGGACACAGAAACATGAGGTCACAATTGGAATTTTAAGTTCAGAGAATCAAAGGGATGTTGGGAAGTATTTTTCGTCATGAAATCAGGCGAGGAATACCTAAAAGTGATGTTGGGGAGGCAGGAACCCATAATATTTTTAAATGGGGTTTTGAAAAAAACCCATAGAGGGAGAGAGAGGACCTAGTCAACCAGTAAAAGGGGCAGACCCGGGGACTATGGGGGACCCTGAAACCCACAAAGGTGAGTACAAATGGTTTGGTACACACGAAACGCCGCCCCAACGGAAACAGGAGATTAGGGGGATATGAAAACGACAAAAAAAACTAAAGGGGTTAGCAAGGTGGAGAGAGGAGGATTTTTCCAAAGGGGAACAGTAACGAGGGTTCACAGTTGGAAAGTGAAGACCAGTGAACCCAGGATGTTAGGAAAATTTCTTCATCGAGAGTTTTCAGGAAGTGGAAGAGCGGGGGTAGTGATGTAGGGGGAGGATCTAACATACTTTAAAAAAAGGGTATATAAAGCACACGGAACAGGAAGAGTGCGGGTAGCGGCCGGGTGAACGGGAGGGGCCGGGAGCTGTGAATCGCCCCCCGCACCACAATAGGAAAGACAACTGGGGAGTCACACACCCCAAACGAAGGTGGTATCACACCCACACACACGAAGGGAGCCCCAAACACCCACACAACCGAGGTGAGTAAAAACACACCCACACACACGAAGGTGGTTACACCCCACACACACCCCGAAGGTGGTACACACACCCCACCACGAAGGTGAGTATACACACCCCACACCACAAAGGTGAGTACACACACCCACACCACAAGGTAGTATACACACCCAAACACAAGGTGGTACACCACCCAAACACACCGAAGGTGAGTCACACACCCACCCCCGAAGGTGAAACACCCCCACACACACAAAGGTGAGTACACCACCCAACACACACGAAGGTGAGAAACACACCCCACACACAAAAGGGAGTTACACCCCCACAACGAAGGTGAGTTACACACCCACCACACACAAGGGAGTACACCACCCCACACACGAAGGTGAGTACACCACCCACACCACGAAGGTGAGACACACACCCACACCACGAAGGTGATACACACCCCCACACACACAAAGGGAGTACACCCCCCCCACACGAAGGTGAGTACACACCCCCAACTCAAAGGTGGTACAAAACCCCACACACACGAAGGTGGTACACACACCCACCCACGAGGTGAGTAGCCACGTAGACACATGTCGACAAGGGAGGTGTTTTGATGCTGGAGAAGGGTCTTGATCCTTAGTTTAAGCTTTCATTATCCCCCCTTTGCAAGACGTATAGTCCCTCGGGGTTTTAGCTTTTTCTCCGGATATAAAAAATCACAGTAACTTGCCTAAATCAAACACTTTGTGGGGAATTTACGCAGGTTTTCACCTGCAGTTTGCTTATGTAGTTCACCGGCCCCGTATGTTCTCCAGGTCCTGTATTTTCCCCGGGTTTTGAGGGTTCCCCAGGTCTGTATGTTCTTGGCTTGTTGTTCTCCAGGCTTGTATTTCTCCAGGTCTTGATTTTCTTCAGGTTTGTATGTTCTGGGTTTGTATTTCTCCAGTTTTGTATGTTCTCCGGGTCCGTAGGGGTTTGGTCTTGTATTCTCCGGGGCCCTGTATTTTCTCCGGGTTTTATATGTTTCCAGGTCTTGCTGTTTCCAGGTCTTGTATGTTCTTCAGGTCTTGTATGTTCTCCAGGTCTTGTATGTTCTCCAGGTCTTGTATGTTCTCCAGGTCTTGTTGTTCTCCGGTTTGTATGTTTTTTCAGGTCTTGTTGTTCTAGGTCTTGTATGTTCCCCAGGTCTTGTATGTTCTCCAGGTTTTGTATGTTCTCCGGGTCTTGCAGTTCCCAGGTTTGTATGTTCCCATGTTTTGTTTTCCCTTCGGGTTTGTATGTTCCCTTCTTGTAGTTCTCCAGGTTTGTATGTTCCCCGGGGTTTTGTTTTTTCCCCAGGTTTGCATGTTCTCGGGTCTTGTATTTTTCTCCGGTCTTTATTTTTCCCCAGGTTTGTATGTTCTCCGGTTTGCATTTTTCCCGGTCTTGTTTTTTTCCCCAGGTCTTGCATGTCTCCGGGTCTTGATGTTCCCCAGGTCTTGTTGTTCTTCAGGATTTTGTTCCCCGGGTCTTGCAGTTCTCCAGGTCTTGTATTTCTCCAGGTCTTGCATTTTCCCCGGTTTTGTATGTTCCCGGTCTTGTTTTTCCAGGTCTTGTATGTTCTTCAGGTCTTGTATGTTCTCCAGGTCTTGCATGTTCTCCAGGTCTTGTATGTTCTCCAGGTCTTGTATGATCTCCAGGTCTTGTATGTTCTCGGGCTTATATGCTCCGGTCTTACATGTTCCCGGTCCTGTTTGTTTCCCCAGGTCTTGTATGTTCTCCAGGTCTTGTATGTTCTCCAGGTCTTGCATGTTCTCCAGGTCTTGTATGTTCTCCAGGTCTTCATGTTCTCCAGGTCTTGTATGTTCTCCGGGTCTTTTGCTCAGGTTTGTATTTTCTCCCAGGCTTATATGTTCCCAGGTTTTATATGTTTCCAGGTCCTGTATTTTCCCTCCAGGTCGTATGTTCCCCGGGTCTTTATGTTCTCCAGGTCTTGCATTTTCCCCAGGTTTTGTATGTTCTCCGGTTTTGCATGTTCTCCAGGCTTGTATTTTCTCCAGGTTTTTTTTTCCCCAGGTTTTGTATGTTCTCCAGGTCTTATATGTTCCCAGGTCTTTATGTTCTCCAGGTCCTGTATGTTCCCCAGGCTTGATGTTCTCCAGGATTGTTGTTCCAGGTTTGTTTTTCTCCGGGTCTGTTTTTTTTCCAGGTTTTGTAGTTTCCAGGTCTATATTCTCCGGTCCTGATTTTCCAGGTTTTGTAGTTCCCCAGGCTTGTATGTTCCCGGGTCTTGTATATTCTCCAGGCTTAAATGTTCCCCAGGTCTTGTATTTTTTAGAGTCTTGCATGTTCTCCGGTCTTGTATGTTCCAGGTCTTGCGTTTCCAGGTTTTGTATTTCTCCGGTCTTAATGCTTGGGTTTTTGTATGTTCTCCGGCTTGTATGTTCCCAGGTTTTTTTTTGTTCCCAGGTCTTTAGTTCTCCGGGTCTTGTATGTTCTCCAGGCTTGTAGTTTCCAGGTCTTGTTGTTCCCAGGTTTTGTATGTTCCCGGTTTGTGTTCTCCGGTTTGTATTTTCCCGGGTCTTGATGTTCCCCGGTCTTGTATTTCTCGGGTATTGATTTTCTCCAGGTTTTGTATTTTCCAGGCTTGCGTTCTCCATCTTGTATGTTTAGGTCTTGTATGTTCCCCAGGTTTTTATTTCCCCAGGTTTGCATGTTCTCCAGGTCAGTATGTTCTCCGGGTTTTGATGTTCTCCAGGTTTTTTTTTCCGGGTCTTGTATTTTTTCTCCGGGTCTTGCATGTTCCCCAGGTCTTGTATGTTCTCCGGTCTTGCATGTTTCCAGGTCTTGTTGTTCCCCCAGGTCTTGTATTTCTCCGGGTCTTGCACTTTCCCCAGTTTGTATGTTTCCGGCTTGTTGTTCCCAGGCCCTGTTGTTTCCAGGTCTGTATTTTCTCCAGGTCTTGTTGTTCTCCAGGTTTTAAAATGTTTCCGGGCCCTGTATGTTCTCCGGGTTTTGTTGTTCTCCGGTCCGTTTTTTTCTCAGGCCCTGTTGTCCCCGGACTTGTATTTTCCAGGTCTTGTATGTTCTCCTTTCTTGTATTTTCTCCGGGTTTGTATGTTTTCAGGTCTTGCAGTTCTCCGGGTCTTGTATGCCCCCCGGCCCTGTATGTTCTCCAGGTCCTGTATGTTCCCCAGGTCTTGTAGTTTCCAGGTTTGTATTTCTCCAGGTCTTGTATGTTCTCCAGGTTTGTTGTTCCCAGGTCTTTAGTTCTTAGGCGGGTTTTTTCCCC